TTGAATATGTATAATTTGAAAAAAAGATAATGAACAAAATATCAATTGGAAACTGCTTTCCCTATTACCGGTCAAGTAATATTGGTCTTTTCATAAACAAAAAATTGCAGTTTTTAATGTCGCTATATATACATTTTGTGACAAAGTATAGCGTGTAGAGTTTCAACACAACATATCTTCTTCGTGTGAAGTCAAAACATTTTTATTTTGTAGTAATAAAGAGACTGTGTAGCTATTCTCAATATTTTTAGATATCAAATTTGAGCATAGTATATCTTCAAATCTCTTTTAGGAAACAAACGATTCCATTTAAAATTCTTTTCATCTAGTTGAACCAATCAGTTTGTTGTTAAGAGCACGCGCTAGTTTCACTGTGACCTCTTTTCGTAAAATAACAAGATTGTATTACATTGAAAGTTACGATAACAGTTACATGAACTTACCTTTGAATGTAACAGACACATTTTTCAACAATGTCATGTTTAAGTGTAATGAAATGCTTTTGATAGTGAGTGTGGACTGTACTTTGCACTAACTTTTTTAACTTCGGTTAATTAATACACTCAATCAAACTGAACTTTAAACATTTTTAATTTCAACGGTTAGGGTTTCCGTTTTTTTTCCTTTTATATGATTTAACAACATGTCCTGTTTTGTATTTGCATTTTGAAATTTTCAAATTTTCATTATACTGGAAAATGTATATTGAATTGTAAATAAATACTCTTGAAGTATTTTTGGTGTATATTATGAATATGTCTTTTAATTAGTACACTTTAACCTTTTATCTAAAATCAAATTTTGTCATCCCCTTGCCGGAACGTTTCCTGTGATTTAATCAGTGAAATGGATTTTAAAAAAACTTGGTTTTCCGGCAGTCAAAACAAAAATGTTGTAACCATTGACAGATTTTTTCAGCCTTTATGTTTATACATTGAAAAACACAGTAATTTACTTTGTGCGTGATTATAAGTCATCAAATACTTTGTTTTTATCAAAAAATGGGCGGATTCAAGTGACATGCTTGAAAATGACAACAAATTATGTGAAAATCATTTTTAGCTTGTATTGTTCATTATAGATTATAATAATTTGTCGAAGACTTTTGCATTAATAATAGATTTATAAAAATACAATTCGATGCAAAAAATTTGCTTGTATGACACAAAAATAATCGTTAACGTCACTTGGTGTGCTTATTGTAACAAATATAAAAGCCTGCATAAATATCATAATAAACACATAATGTGAGATTGAAGTAAAGTACATGTATTGTGTTTTAAATTATAGTGTAATAACGACTGATTATTTATGATATTTTTATGCGCTTTTTACATCAAAAATTTGTTGGAAATGAACATTAATTATATCATTCGCTGGCTGCACTTGAGTTTTGTGATTTTTATTGCACACGGACAATTGTACACAGAAATGATCGATCTAGTTGACCAGTTATTTAATGAATCCACATACAACAAATTTCTAAGGGTCTTTTACAACCAAAGTCAGCCAATTGAGGTGTGTTTGAAGTTGAGCATAATAAAGCAAACATTTGTTTGCAAATGAAGACTTGATTTTAAATGGAATTATATGTATTTGTGAGTTAAAATATGTGGAGTTAAAATAATATACACTATTTATAGAAGTGAATTAAGAGTAATTTCAAATATATTTTTAAAGTTTGTAAATAGAAGGACAAAAAGAATCCGACTTATACATGTAGTTGAAATAATAGAGTAATACAAAATCTTATATTTATTGCAGATCAATCTCACCCAATTTATGTTAGCAATTGAAACGTTTGACATAATTTCGGGAGAGCTGGATATAAAAGGATTCTTTAAAATTACATGGACGGATGAGCTTCTTACATGGGACCCTTGTGTACACCATGGCAAGGAATGAATTCCATTGCCCAAAGGAAGATTTAGGAATCCAGGAATTTTGTTAAGGAGTGGTGCAGCCGCCGACAGTTCTGCAATCACAGAATGCAAATTTCACCGGCTTGGGTAAGCTTCCAAGGCTCTGTTTTGATGACACTAGAAGGAAATGGCGAATGGGAAGTAGAAAATTTTGCCGAGAATATTGATGAAGGAAAAGATGAAAAGATTGAGCAGATGGCGATCCCAATGTTACGTGCCTCTTTTACTTTGAAGAGAAGACTTTGACTGCACTTATTACTTTGTATCCTTAATATTCTGACATGTTGGGTACACCCTGATTCTGGCGAAAGATTGACAGTTGTAGTGGCTTTATATCTGGCTTTTGTCTTCACAACTAAATCAATCATGGATGAAATCCCAAACAATTCATTAAAGATGCCCGTGATTTCGTTTTTCATTCTTACTATCAATGTTATTAATGCAGTCTGTGTTACATGGAGCATATTTGTCGTACATTTAGCCAAAGCAGATATTATTAGGCGAAAACTACCAACAATTCTCACAAAATTGGTGATGAAAAATAAGCGTTTCATGATAGGAAACAAGGTTTAACTTGTTATTGAAATGGAGCAAACAACTCACGGACAATCCGATACGGGCAACGATTTGAACGAAGTAAAAGAGGACCGGATTGTAAATTATGATCATGAAGACGAAATAAGTGGACTCGAATTGTCATCCGTTCTTGACAGAATATACTCTTGGATTTTAATATTAATTTTATTATAATTTCTTTGTATCTTTTATTTCATATTTTTACTGAGCAAGAGCTCGAAATACTGTTAGAATAAAAATAAACTAGATTAATCGACTTAAAAAAGTGAGACAGTTAAAAATAAAAAGAACACTCTCATTGTTGTAACAAAAGTACAATATTACTACTTTTTATCAATAACAACATTAAAAACACATAATGAAATTTGAAATCTGGCACATACACAGACAGAAATGAAATTTATCAAATTAACATTATTATCGCATGGAATGTTATATGAAAATTGTAATGCATCAGAATTAATTTCACCAATTAATTATTAATAAATACAATATAAAATAAACATGTAATCTCATTATCAAATATTTTTACAATTGTTTTATTTGTCCACATTTCCTATTTCTAAGTTGTTGTTTTTTTTCAATGCGCAATGCTTGGACTATGCACATTACTGCTATAAGAGTGTTGGACAGGAATTACCCATAATAAGCAATGGACACAAACATGAACGGTTGAACTGAGTACATTCAATCGTCCTAAGCACTACAGCACTCAACCACCACTCAATTATGAATCTTAAAACCTCAAGGAAAGAAGTCTTTGAATCCGTCTGCTAAGTTCAATAGTTTTTTTATCGGAATTATAGTCCAAGGGTCGCTGATTCGATCCTTAGGCAAAGCAAATTTCTCTGTGACAATTAATCCTGGACTTTGTGTCTCACCAATGGTCATTTGTCTCTCACTACCATTTCAATAACTCATTATCTCAATGAATTAGTATTCGGTTATAAGAATAAGGAATACTTGGTAATTAAAATGTGTTAACATCGGTGTAAATGAGCCAGATAAACTAACAAACAAAAAATTTATTATAATTTTTATTTTTCAATAAATCAGTAAGAACTCTATCAACAGGTTTCAAGCAAAAAATTATCAGATTATACAAGAGATACATGTTTCTATTGATTCTATTAAGATTTTAAATACATATAAAAAATTTCCATTGTAGACCAATCCACCTTAAAACTGTGTAACCGAAAGGCAAATTGAAAACCTAAAGGCAAATTGTATTATTGTTCTTTAAATACACATTGATGCCACGAAACAAAATGTATGAATAAAAATAAGGTTTCTGCCTTTTATCAAACAGAACGATATTAATAAAGTTTGAATTGTGTACATTTTTGCTAACATACATGATCAATTACATGTCCTTATTTTTTTATTTCTTTTTTTTTGGATCTTACGGCTTATTAAAACAATCAGATGTCATATGGCGACTTTTCAGGCATTCTGATGGAAGCAGACCTCAAGTGCCCGTCCATGCATTATTTCAGCCAAGACTGGGAACATCAAGAAAATGAACGACGTTCCGTAAGCTAGATAGATTCCCTTCTCACATGACATAATCCAAAGTCGCTTGCGGGATTCGAACCAGCAGCGATAAGGGGCAGGTTATTTGAAGTTTACGACTTAAACCACTCGGTCGTGGGACTTTTACTTTAAAAAAATACATTCTCCAATTTGTTGTAGACAATACTGGCATAGTAATTTAATTTTGACAAAGGTTTGTAAATAATCCAATATGCTACCGCCCCTTTTAAAGCAAAATCATTGTTTTAGTAGCTACACATCTTAATTTTATTAATGTTGAATAGCAACAACAACAACAATATCAATACATAAAGCATTACATTTACAATAAATAAAAGTTATTCGAGATATCACACCCAAATATTTCGAATTAATTGAATTGTTCCTTGATAGAACTTCCATAAATGCATAATAAAATGAGTGCCTTATATTTTTACATATATGTCAGATGATAAATCTTTGTACATTGAATTAATATAAAATGTCATTCGAATAATCTCAAAATCTAAATATTTCTGCTAAGAAAGTTGTGTATGGAATAAAAACATGCTACACATGTATGGATATAAGAAGACTTGTACAAATATATTAAGGCTATGGTTGAACATGACGTCATAGACAAATAATTTGTAAGCCTCGTCTGACTTCGTTAAAAATAAAGAAATAAGTTTTCGTCTAATTGGAAATTGTTTTCTCTTTTTTCTATTAAAAGGAGAAGCTAAAAGTTCTCTTTAAAGTTTAATCAAACCAGTAATACATTGGCGCAATCAAAATTAGTTAAGAAAAATATTAAATCTCTCATGAATTTTACTGCAGTTTTTATATTAATGTTTTTATTTGATTTTATTTTTAGCGATGTTGTTTTTGTTTCTAATTTGTCGTTTTCCTACTGCTGTTATGTTTGTATGTTGCTTGACTTGCCCTCTCGTCCTAACATAAACACAATCTCGAAGACTTGTAGAAGTGTACCTATGATTGTGCCCAGGTGCCGATTAAAACGGAAACAATAGTGACATTGAGAAATATAATTGAAAGCGCAAGTAACCAAAAGAATAAATTATCAGCCACATCAGCAACTTCACGTCCGCTGATATCATGTTGAAACTTATTTTTAGAAATATTTGGATTTTTTTCAATACCATCCTTGATACTATGTACCTCTTCATTTTCATTCGATTCCATTGTCTGCTCCGTTTCTCTACCAGACTCAATTTTATTAAACAGACATGTTTTATTTTGCCTCCTTTTCACAACCATGTTTAAAATTAGGCTCGGGACTTTCCTCTGATCAATTACTTGTATACTAGCCAAGTTAACAATAAATATACTCCACGCCACCCCAATTGTATTGATTAGATTTATTATAAGTACTTCATATGACATACATGGCATACGCAATGAATTATTTGGTATCTTCTCTATTGCTGCAGTTGCAGAAAATACTAATGATAAATATAATGTAATTGCAAATGACAGTCTTTCTCCCGAATCTGGTCTAACGTGACATGTCGCCATATTAAGAAATGTCATAAGCATTAAAGGTGTATAAATGTTAATGATAATGAACGCCGGTCTTCTCTTCAAAGTCAAAGACATCCAAACCATTGGAACAGAAACTTTTCCAATTCTTTTTTCTTTACTTAGAGAAACTGCTGTATTTAAACTTTCAATGACCCATTCGTCGTTTTCCTCAAGTTCATCAATGTTACTTGAAGGCGAGTGAATTATTAATTCATTTGCGCCATAATTAGACACTATGATATTAAAATTACAATGATGAATATCAAATGGATACAGTGTTGTATCAACGTCGCATCTTGTGTCGTACGTACCTCCCGAAACCATTATAACATCTCCATTGTACTCAACCAAAGCGGGAAATACGCCATTACTGTAAATTGAAAACGCATCATTGCGAAGTCCACTCATCAATTTAAACTCCGGTTGCCAGAATTTACCTTTTGGAAGTTGAATACTTTTTATTCCGCCATATCGAAGAGGGTCCCATGTTAGATATTCGTCTTTCCAGCTGATTTCAAAGAAGGCGGATATAAGTGCTTCCCCCGTTGTGATGTCAAAGTATTCCACTCTTTTGAGATACTTAGTAATATTTACCTGGAAACAAAATTAATACTGTTGTTGAATGAGTTTAACAATAATCTGAATTTATTTAAATGATACAATTCAGTTTAGATACAGATAGCCATCCAATTGAGTGAATCTTTTTTTACACAGTCTGGATAATTAACCTAAAAGGCTTAATGTTACTAACGACCAAAATCTGAAAATAATTGTATAATTACACATTGGTGTTTCAGGTATAGTCAATGAACAAATGAGGTTGAAATATTGAAAATATGTTCAACAAGTGGAAGCCATGACACGTATCATAATCCGACTGTTTTTTGTTATCAATTATCACCGATCATGAAATTTTTAAACTTTGCTTTGAAAGAGAAAATGAGAGCGTGTAAGATCACAGCAAAATCTTTAGACAACAAATAGATGAAGGCGTATGGGAAGACGCAGTCAAGACATTATCGGTAGTGAAAGGAGTATTGAAAGATGAAGTCAGTAGTTAAATGCCGTTAGTCATTTTCAGTTTCATTTACTTCATATAACATCTTATAAATAGAAATTCTTATTTCAACAGGTGTTTTTTTGTATATGCGCCTGGTATAACACTGATATTTCTTAGGAAATAGTGGTTATTTTGACAGTTGGCATATGCAGTAACTATTGAAACTGTCCGTTTACAAATTTTGTTACAAGTCAACATATATATTTTTTTTGAATTTACCATAAAATGTTTCTTGATATATCAAACATGTAGAATATTCAATGAAAAAAAAAAGATATTTGAGATATCTATATATATTTACAGAATTCATGTTTATTTTTTTTTTTTTTTTTCAGTTAAGAATCTTAAAAAAATCATATTTTAAAGAATAATATTCAGATTATTATTTGTTTCATACAGATTCATAAGATAAAGTTATCTCTGTGTAAAATTGTAATTGCCATATGTATTAAGCTGTCATATACATGTTTTATATTTGGCTATTTTGACAGTTTTGATAAACAAGTATACGGTTACCATGGAAATAGCCTGGGATTCAGGCGTTGATATTTTTTTATTTATTCATAACTTACGCGCTATTTCATACTCGATCGTCATATATAACACAACATCTCTGGTTTTGATAGTATCAACGCATGGGGAAACCTGCTGGGTTTCCCATGTCATTTTCGACTAAAGATAATCCTATTAATAGACCGATTAGCACGTGACCAACAAATAACATGATTAAATCGAAATCGAGGCGAAGATGATAAATGTTGAAAATTTGACGCCATTTACCATTAAAAATTGAGTCCAGCACAATTATCTGATGCTCACACACTTTATCTTCTTTAACTAATCACACCTGTTGATCAAATTCACTTATCATGAAATAAACTTTGTCAACGAGTGTTAGTTTTTAATCGGAAATGGTGTTTTGAAAGCGAGGCTCCGTAACTGTTCGTTGAGCTTCGGATCACTTCGTGGAAATTCCGTTTCTTTTTTTAGAAACTAGTTTGTTGTTGCATGAATTATCGTTCTTTAATAACACCCGTAATTTTCGGGGTGTATACTAGGTGGCGCTTCGATGGAAAATTGTATTTCCCCAGGCTGTCGATTTGCCGAACAGAAGCGCATAATAAATCGACAGACTGGAACCCAGGCTACCATGGAAACTGCCATTTTACAAAAATACAACACGTCGACATATGTTTGTCTTTCTATTTTGGAATTAACAATTGAATTTTACTTATCATATAAAAAATTTAGAAGATTCAATGAAAGGATAATTCTTTCCTAAAACTGTAGAAAATGTTTTAATCAATGTAAAATAATGGTATTAAATTATAAAAAAGTAAATAATATCATACCTGTATTTTATTTGATTGGTTTTGTAATGGTCTTAGGATTTTGTTGTATTTTGACTCATTGAATAGATGTCCAACTAAATCATTCATTTCCTCGTACGTTTGTCCAAGCATAATCGCTAAATTACAAGTAATTAACATACAAACATATACCACAAACATCCTGTTGTGTTATTTTATTTAAATATTTATATACAGTTTAAGTTAAAAACTTTCCGAAATTTTACACCATTCAAATTATTCCTTTCAGCGCTTTATATGATACACTTTTTTTCTCTCCCACCTGTTGAGATCAAAATGCTAAAATGTTGCTGATGGAAGTTTACAACAAAATTAAGAAAGAACTATCCTGTTGAATAGGAACATTAATTACTCAGCACAGTAATGCATGATCTGATATGGCAAGGGTTATTGATATTTGCGTGGTTGTAAAACAATAAAACCTATAATATATTACTTCAGCAAAATGTTTATTGATTGAGTTCTTCATTTGACTGGGAAGGAATCCGACATAACTAAGAGTACAAGGTTATTACCAGAGTGGCGCAAACTAATACTAATTCTATGAAAGTGTAAAAAAGAAACAAGACAACATAACAAAAAAAACAACAGAAAATAAACAAACAAATGAAGCGAAAGAAACAGACTTAAAACAAAAGCTAGTCTCAAAGTTACCAAAAACTCTTATATGAATACGACATATATGTCAAGTAACATTTTTTCAGGAAGAATAAAAAAATCATTTTTTTATTTAGACATTATCATTTACTGCCACTTTTTTATAATTATTTAAACGATTTTTTCAAAGCACAGAAAACAAAAATGTTATTCATATTTCATAACTAGAATAAAATCGGATTTGACATTTTCTCTAAAAGGTTGTCTTAAAACGTGGGTTTTGAACATTTTCAACGTATTTGGCTTGGATGAACATATGTTACTCTTGGGCTTTTACATAAAGCATTACTAAATAAAAACCAAGATGTTGGGTTCTCTTCTCAAGTTCTCATCTTTATTTACATCATCTGTCCCAAATAATTACAAATGATTGTTGACACCTGAAACTGATGAAACTACTTGCAGCTACAACAAGTGACCTGAAAATACATTTCATCAACCAATTACTATATAACATTGTATAATGAAAAAATAATCAATTACAAATACATATTACATGAGCAACATTTTAACAAGATCATCATAGTATGAGTAATACAATTAATTCCTCCAATGCTAGTGGCCAAAATACATTAATACTTAACCTTTCATAAATGTCACAAATCCTAATACATATAAATCACATGTCAAACCTGTATTCAACATAAACATAGTACAAACATAACCACAACATGTACACTTACCAGTATATGGTACCAATCACATTCTGCATTACACTCTTTCTCTCCAGTGTGTGCTGCTTAGTCTGTAAGTTAAAAATAAGTATTGTGCACAAAAGAAATATATGTGACAGTAGTAATAGTTAATTTACCAGATTATGCCATTTCAATTTCATGTACACAAAATATGCAATATTACATATACGTCTAAAATATCGCCGAAAACAAAGAAACGAATGTAATACTCATTTCAACAGAAGCTCATGTAATACAACAAATACTAAATATACATACCAAGATATATTTCCTTATAAAATATAAGATAAACTTTCAAAAGTTTACCAAAACACCAATCTCAACTGTTACACAGAAAAACGTAGGCCGCACTGAAAACCCCGCGAATCAGCACGTGATACAAAGAAATTACTATCAACCAATCAAAATAGTGTATGCCAACAATAAAGTTCAAAGTGCATGGCAATGACTAGAACTCTTACAAAATACATTGAAAACACAGTCAGGACGGTCTGGTCACACATAAATATAACAATATTTCTTCTTTGAAATTATAATACACCAAACTCTAAACTACAAACACTTTAACAGTATAATAAGCAACATCATTTCGCTTATCAATTTTAATCTGTTTTAAAGTCGACAAAAGTAAACATTTCATGTCACAAATTTATTTTTCAATATCTTTTTTCGATGCGCTTAAACAGTCTCATCGATACACATTTTAACATGCATCTGTAACATACAAACAATGTTGACTTTAAACATTTCTATAATATAACTTATGATCATGCAGGTCAAGCTATTGCCCTAGTGTTAAGATTTTAAGTTCCGAATATCATTTTAATGTCTATATAACATACCATTTATATACATTGTACAAAGATTTTTCCTTTAACAAAAGTGTCAATAACAAGATTCATTAAGAATTATTGTTGCATTGAAAACAATATATAACTTAAGAAATGCGGCGATTATCTTAGAATGAACGGTAGTCACAAGTGATTACCGATTTCAGTGGTGAATATTTCATATCAAAATATAAAAATTGAACACAATTGAGTATTGACAGGACCTGGTTTTTGAAGCTCACTCATCATACTCTCGTCTTTATATTCATCCATTATTTACACATTCTATACAAAAGGATTTTATCGTTTGTATGGTAAAGTGCACGTTATCACTGTGTCTTACCTTACGCCTATGCCAGGTCGTATTTTCTTGAATCAAAATAATCCTAAAAAAATGTATAATAAACGTATTTAACACTATATGTAGTGACCTTGATGTTATCAACATATTATTGTGGAATATTTGTCGGCTGTTTTTTATGCTTTTTAATCACATTCCATTTGGGAATGTCCTTTTGTAAACATTAATGTTAAGTTGTAATTTTGAGTTCACAAGCAAATCTTAGTAGAACGTTTGCCAAGGTAACATTCATATTTTAATGACTACCTCCATAACTATATGATTTATCACTTGTAAGGGGCGTCCGTAGCCGAGTGTTTAAGGTCGTTGACTTCAAACCACTTGCCCCTCAACGATGTGGGATCGAATCCCGACAGGGACTTTGGATTCTTTCATGTGAGGAAGCTATCCAGCTAGCTTACGGAACGTCGGTGGTTCTACTCAGGTGCCCGTTCGTGCCTGAAATAATGCACGGAAGGGCACCTATGGTCTTCCTCCACCAGTAAAGCTGGAACGTCGCGATATGACCTATACTGTGTCGATGTGACGTAAAACCAAAAACAAAACAAAATTATCACTTGTAAACCAGACGAAAATACGTTTGCTGTTAACTCTCCCTCACACTCATTACAACCTTGCAGTTTGAAAAGCCGAATATTTTGTAGTTATGACATGATAATTTCATCTTGTAATAGATTCAAATAGCAATAAATTTAGGGCAAATCATAAGTATGCAAATCAACAGTAATGACATTTATGTGTTTTTGTTCTGTCCTTGACCTATTCTTGCCTCTCGTTTTCGCTGTATATGTTCGGCATATTTTGTATACAGTTTTAACCTTATAACCGTAGCAAATATCACACCTACAATAATTAAGGCTGAGGTAATTGGCATTTTCAATTATTGTTTTGATTCTTCCTCCATTTCCTGTTGATATTCACCATGTAAATCCTTTACGTTGACAAAATATAGTTCCAGGTACTGTTTACAAGGTAAAACTATAAAGGCAAATATTGTCGTATCTAATAAAGGCGGTATGAAATATCATGATTTAAATTTGAATTCTTTAACTGCAGAACAAAAAACAAAACATAATATTTCCCACAACATTTTATTTCAAACAAATTTATAAAGCATATTAATAAGATTTAAAATGACGGAGATAGATTTTTTTCGATAAGTCGAAAATGATATTTCAAACAGAGTCCATGTTTTATTTATTGAGGATTGTTTTTACAAAGCTTTCAAATTGTTTTAGGTTAATCAATAAAAACCCCGTAAATAAAAACATATATTTGAAATAGATTCATTCTCATGCGAATGTGTTTCGTCCGTCGAGAGACTTGATTAAATAATATAATCAAGTCGCTCTAAAACCGATGCTAAATGATAATGGCTGTAGTACATTTAGCATTATAGTTCATTAGCAGATCTAATGAACCTGTATCTGCAATGTTTACTTATTACTTAATTTTCACTGTAATTGATGAATCTCCATATCTCAAAATTAGTATTATAAAATGTTCTTCATTTGTATTGAATCTATCAGATCGTTAGGTATTCAAGATAAAACGTTCGATAATTATTGCTTTGTTTTCAACTCATTCAACCAAGCCTCTAAAATCAGAATTTAATGGTCCTGGTATTCCCTTTGTGAATGTACAAAAAGCAATCCTCAAGAGTACTTTATTCCAACAATTAACAACTGGCATGGTATGAGTTATAAACTAATATCAATATAGATATAAATAGAATAAACGCATGTGCTTGAAAGAGAGATGCATGTACTTATTGAGCAAGCACAAATAAAAAAACAGCAACAACCGACTTGTTTAGAAAAAAATTAATTTTACGGTCAACAAGAGTATGTATTTTATTAAGAAATTTAACAAATAAGAATTGATAAGCTTTCAATTGAACAGACAATCAAAAAGAAAGGTAATTGTTACATCAGATACTTCACAATAATAACCACAAAGAGACATTCGTTTTATATAAATCAAAAAAATAATCACGTAAACTGAACACATTATCCATTATATGTGCATACCTACCACACTTATGTTACTTGAATTATGGACAAGTAAACAGTCTTGAAGCAGATTAGCATCTTATTTCGGGACGACGCATATTGTTTCTTTCTTCCTGTCAAAAGGCAGCTATACATTTATTCATTTAGATGTTAGATATGAAATATTTTACAGTTTAATGAGTGTACCTAAAGTATCATATACTTTCAGTTCCTTTATACTTACATATTATATCAAGCATTAAAAGTAAAATATATTCGTACCAAACTGCAGGTTAAGATTTCAACGGAGAAGTTATTTGCATACAATTTATTGTCATATAATCATTTTTTCTAAGAAAACAAGCCGATGATTTCTTATTAATCACATTAAATTTTGTATAAATAAATATATAAATGCATAAGTATCTTTTCAATTAATGATTCAGAAGATAACCATCAGTCAAGGAAGGGTCATCATATTTCATGATCATCGTTATGACACATTTTATGTTCAGGTCGAATAAGGGACAGAAAGGCGCAAAGACCAGTCCCAACCATGAATATACTAATCCGACATACAAGTAAATATTTGTATAACTTTCACATTTTTATCTTGATTCTGACCTTAACTTTCAAGCTGGATAGTTCATTCTTGCATCAAGGACAAAGCTTGTGTATCCAAAGTTATTCCTAGTTATTTCAAAATGCGGGAATGGCAACATTATTGTCCAGACACAAACATTTTGCATTTTATGAAATGCGGCCTAGATTTTTGAGCTACAGACTTGGATTTATGTGTTACATAATTATGAAAATATTTCAAAATATCTCCATAAATGTCATAGTTAATGACCGGACACACACGAGGTGTGGGCGGATGGAAAGACTCATGGACAGAAAGATGCTGCAAAAACTAAATGCTAATCGCACTTTATCTTTGCGAGGAACAATTTTAATCCTTTTATATACATATATTGCAGTTGTACTGCTCGTGTCCTTACGTGTAAATCATTATCTTAAAATGTAAAAGTCCAAAAAAGTCAATGCATTCTTAAATCTCCAGGGACACTATCGTAGAGCATCTGCACTTTGGAAAGTATTGTGCTTTATAGACCGTTCTATCAGCCAATTTTAACACCACAAATAACTTTATTCATGAACTCCTATGGACTCTAAAACTGAAAAAAAATATAACACAAGGGAAATTCAATGGCTTTCAAATAAAGCTACAGTTACAGTTTATATTCGCTCACGGTGATTTGAGTGGTGAAATCGGTACAATGGTTATTATTACAATCAATAATTAATTCTGAGTTGTTCGTCATCAGTATGCAATATAGATGAAATTAGTTATAGACAAAGCTCCGCATTAACGTGTCATTGGATTTGATATAAAAGCGCTTATGAGTTGTGAAAATCAACTAGATTAAGGGTTGTTTTTTTTATTTCTAAGCAGTAGACTGACGATCCTAGATTTTTACTAATCACTGCATGTTAATCATGGATAAAATACCATTGTTAATGGTAATATTGAAAGCTCTTGAGTCATCGCTCGGACAAACATACACTGAAATGGACTCTTTACTAGGACATCTTTTCAATAAGACAAGATATAACAAATATCTGAGACCTGTAGAAAACCAAAGTCACGTTATTCAGGTAATTATATTGTATATTGTGTGCTACTATTTTTTCTCATTACTTTTTTCTTTCCCTCTATGCAACATGAACTTACTTTTATTCAGTTATTAACACATAAAATCGAAACATTAAAAAATTAATAAAATATATACAATAAACAGAATGATACTCGAAAAACAAAACAAAGTCATCTGGTTATCCGAAACTCGGCAAATGTGGTTTTTTCCAAGCTATCCCCCCCCCCCCAAAAAAAACATTTACCATGATAGCTTTACGGTACACAACCGATAACAATAGATAAGTCACCCTTCGAAGCTGTAACTGTAAAAATTTGTAATAAATTTACCCCCGGATTTGCTGGAAAAAAAACCCACAAAATATTCTTAATTCCTGAGTAAGTTTATTGTATATAGGTTTTTATTGTTCGTTACGTTTTGTCAAATTTCAAATAATTTTCCTGAGAGTAATTGCGATATATATACGAATTATCAAGTTTAAAAATGATCGATCGATTTTCATGAAACAAATGTCCAAATTCGTTACAATTTTTCTCTTGATTTTACCCAGTCGGCCACTAATATTTCAAATACAAATACAACAGTACATTCATAATTCAATCGTTTAATTCTATAGACATACAAATACAAATATATGAGAAAAATCTATAAATCCGAGAGCAAAATTTAAATATATGTTTAAGAATGCAAATGCAGGGTTGTAAGTTAAGTTTGTATGTTTAACATTACTAATATCTTAGATATGTGTATATTGTATGTATCGTCAGCTACTGAATTACAAATTCTCACAATTTATTTTTCCATGACCTTTTGTAGGTAAACTTTACACAGTATGTAAAAACCATTGAACATCTTGACATCTCGTCAGGTGAGCTTCTAATAACTGGATATTTTGAAATAAAATGGACTGATGAAATGTTGACTTGGGACCCTGCTCTTTTTGGAGGTAGAGAAAAAATACAGTTGCCTAAAGACAAGTATTGGAAACCAGAGATTTCCTTAACAGACGGACCGGCAAATGAGGACACTTCGATTTATGGGAGCGGATTCTATCCCGCGTGGACCACTTACCAAGGGGTAGTAATGATCATTGCTGCAGGCAGTTACAAGACGAAATGTATTGTTGACACAACATTTTATCCTTATGATACGCACTCGTGTTATTTCCAGTTCATCGTGTCTAATCATGACTCTACGGAACTTATGATATCTTCTCCTTCACCCGATATTCATTTTAGTGATTTCAAAGAAAATGGTGAATGGGAAGTTAAGAGTACAGATACAAATGTAATGCTGGTAAAAGAGAAAAACATAGACAATGTGGGTATACCAATGTATCAGTCATCGTTTTTGTTAAAAAGAAGGTCCAAATATGAAATGATAAATTCACTTACACCTATCACGTTTATGTTATTTCTGAATATTGCAACTTGTTTTGTTCGCCCTGAATCCGGTGAAAGGACAACATTTGCAATAACGCTATATTTAGCATTAGTTTTTGCAGCAACATCATTAACAGAGACAATACCTAGAAATTCATTAAAAGTGCCAATGATTTCGTATCAACTGCTTACGGTTAATCTCATCAACACGGTTGGCGTTTTATGGAGCATATTCATTGTTAATTGCGCGAGTAAATCTGCGGCTGATAGATATCTGCCAAATTTTCTTCTGAGGATGATTACAAAAAGGAGACAGAAAAGCAAAAATAATTGTAAAATAGTTCCTGTAGAAAATTCAGTAGTATCGATATTGCCTGTTGAGGGTACGGATATAAGTGATGGTGACATCACTACTCAAAGTGAAGAAGTATGTAATGGACCACAATCTGCTAACATAACTGGACACGAGGTGGCGGAAGTTCTTGATACAATTTATTTCTGGATGATCATTATTTGTATTATTTTAACAAATGTCATTTACAGTGCATTTTCGTACCAAAGTTGGTTCAGTTAGATGCATCAGGGGGTAGTGTTCTTTTCGTAAGAAATACGCTCTCTAAGCCAAGTGAGTCGACTAGTCATTTGTCTCTAATTGCTAATTCATTGGAAGTCGGAATCTTGCGGAAAATTGGTCATTGATTGCTGATAATCCAGGAAAGCCGGTTAGGTTTGTCAACGGCCAAGATATGACCAAAATTATGTTGAAATCGTCTTACAATAAAATAGAGACAAAAACTGTTCATGTCTATAGCAAAACATATATTACATAAATTATAGAAAAACAATCACACCTCGCAACAACAAAAACAACACAAATGTATCTATATCATAATAAATATCCTACTAATAGATAATTCTTTGAAAAAATTCTCATATTGTGATATGAAAACAATTTTATAATTCAACTTCATAAAATGCTAGCATTATTAATAATTTTACTCAAACCATTGATGATTGTTTACTGATTTTTTAGACATGAAAGTAATGAAATTTTGTTTTGACCTCAGTAGAGTTCCTTGATATTGTCTTCTCTTTTAAGCAGCTTCTAAATGGGACGATGTTCTTAATTTTGATAATGTTATTTTATTTTTTGCAATGAGTATATTCCTCTCCTCATATTCTCTTCGCATCAATATTAAATACATACCAAAATGTTTTCTTTGCTATTCAACCCAAATGATTAAACGACTTCGAAATTTGGGCTATATTAATAATAATTGTATCTTTAGAACTGATCATTTTCAGAAACCGTTTTGTGTGTTTGTTGTTTTAATATTCAGTGTTACATTTTGAATAAATATTGCAATAAACTTGTTATCGGTCATATCATATGTAACAATTTAGGGTCTTAAGAAAAACAAAAATAGCATCAGCTCTGAACATCAGTCAAAATATTTGCATTTAACCAAATTCAGGTGGCGATACCACGTGACTTTAATGATTCAAAACAAGGCTTTTTTGTCCGTATCAGGTATATTTTTATCAATATCGTTGCTGATTAAACCCAGCTGATTTGGAAGAGATAATTTGCAGAGTACCCGTATATCAAGCTTACGAAACCCCTTGAATTGTCTTTGAGAACATTTATGTACAGTTACTTTTTATAACTGTAACAGAAGGATAGGTAAACACTCGAAATAAAAGCAAGAGCAAGCGGATTCCAACAAGTTCTCTGTTCTTTCTCTCTGCAGGATTAAATAATATTTAATATAAATTATTGATTTAATAATGCAAATAGACTCGGTTTGATACAGTCTGTTCATGAGGGATGACAGAAAAGCTAAACAGCCTTCACGCCCCTGACGCGTTGGTAATCGGTACTCCATTAACACTTTATGTCCTTGAATCAATGATACTGTACCCAAGGACCAGAAAAAATTACCAGCACTAAAGTAAAGTACGGGGCAACATTTTACAACTCCTACAAGGCACTTAGCACCCGCTGCTTTTAAATTGCGCAATGAATTATATCAAAAAGATGGATGTATTAATACATCATCGAGCTTTTTACATTTTGACAAGTGCTTTCATAACATTATTTGCTTTGCTGTCATTCAAACAATTAATTCCATTTTGTATGACAATCATTGTCATTAACTATTTTATTATTTCAAAACTATTAAAGTTGTGTTTTAACCATTAGCCATTATATAGCAATTCTATGTATACACATCACTTATTAAATCCAAATATGTGTGAAGTTTTATAACGTCTAGCTCATTATTCACGAATTATAAACGATGAAAGAAAATCGTTGTATTCCATGAAATGCAATTATTTTAAATGCCTGTTCGGACAATAAAAAATAATTTATATAATAGTATAACAGATATCTAGAAAAGTATTTTACAACATAACAACTTACTTTATATGCATAACATGCAATGAATGATTATTAAGTTTGTTTTTAAGTTCGTTATTTATTTATAAAATTTTATTAATTCCTGCCTTCAATGATAAATTGTTCTTTTAATTTTAACACTATTCTTTCATTTTTTATCATAAAGAATAAGGTTAATAGTTTGGTTTTGCCTTACCACAAAAAAGAAAGAATAAAAAAGAGAAAAAAAGAAAACAAACAAATAACACTTCTATGTAATTGGTTTTTCTATATTTTAACCACTGTTGTTTATCATAACTGACGAACTCCTCCGATTTACTGCCAAAAACAGAACAGATTTTTTCAATAGCAAGAATTTCTGGTTAAAATACCTAAACGGTTTTCTTATACAGTCTTGTTGATTATATATAACTACAATCATACAACTCGTTGACAATTACATATACAAGATTATTCTCTCTCCAAATACTTCTAACACATGATAAACAAGATCAACAAGGAAAGACGGCGTTTCATGAACGCAAAATAGGAAGAAAAAATCAAAAGTCTTATTATACATACTACACATTCCTGTTCATAGACAAGTAAGTAAATTATACTTTTTGACCATGTTAATCAATTATTTTAATTAATAACTTTGGCTTCATACAATAAGGCTTTTCATATAAGATCTTTCAAGCAATCGTTATGATGTTTATAAAGATATTTTATGTTTCCCAGAAGTATTTTGTGTAGAAGTAAGCAACTGATAGTAGGAAATGATACCAATCTGTAGTGACATCTATCGTGTTAATAAGACAGTTTCCTTAACGCCATGTAATATGTATTTATTTTACAGAAACCAAACCATGACCTTTGTCTTTCCCCTTTAATGTCAGTGAACATCCCAAAAAGAAGACAGCACGTACCCTGTTCTATGTCGGCATAGTCGCACGTGCTGTTGACGAAATTCATAGCATTGTGTCCTTGCCTTTTATTTTTTGTATACGACAATATTTAACAAACCGGAACATGAAGTCGAATTAGAAATAACATGTTATTATACGCATTATCTTATCATCAAAATAAGTTTTCAAGTTGATATAATACATAGTATTAGACAAATGCCTACCCTATTACGAATGATCGCAACATTTAGATGAAACAATAGATACATCCTAATTTTTACCAAATATAAGTTGATAAAAATTATTTTAGTAATAAATAAAAAATAATTTTCGTGTGTTTTAACATATATTTTTATTTCCCAAAAAATAATGTGTGGCTCAATAAACATGAACAGACTCGATCAAATCGGGGTCTGCAATTTCATATTATATTGTTGTTTTCGGTGCTTCAAAGGGATCACCTCCTTTCCAGATTCTGACATGTTTGAGTCTAAAAGTGATCCAAAATATAACAAAAAATAAATTTTTAACACTAACACTTAAGGTAAATGAAACTTGTTTTCTTAATATGATATATCGAAAGTCAGCATAGTAGTGTTACATCAGTTATTAAACAAACTATCGTCTGTGAAATTTATGAAAGATGGTATTCATCGGTCTATATCTTTCATTCCAAGAACGGAATTTATTATAAAGTTTAAACGGCATTCTTTAACGTTCCAAATACAGAATCTACATGTTAAAATGAAGCCTGTAGTGTGACACAGTAATCCAAATAACTGTATCATTCGTAAATAAAGAAAGGCAAATGAAGTGAAAAATTCAAGATTGATCATTTTAAAAGTACTTGAGTAAACCTTGATATGAGTTTACGCCAATTTGTGTCAAGCGTTTTTTAGCTGTTTCCAGTTGTTTTTTTCTCTCAATACTTTATCCCTTTTTTTAGTAACATGCACACGCCCTGCATTGATGCTAAACTTTATATATAGTTTTTCTCATATTAGGAGTCTAATGTAGTAGCATTTGTTTTCAAGCACTTTTTAAAAGTAATTTTCCAGCAACTTCTTTTTTTTTTTGTATGTGTACAGGCCTTCTACTAGAGCATGTAGAGATAGAATTATTGTCTCAAAGTTGTTATTTTTATGAATAAAGATAAACTTAAAAATTTTCTTTTTATCTCTTCACTAAGTTTTAAGTATGATATAAAGCAACACAAGTATTGTAATTATGTAATATTTTAAAAGACATTTTTTTTCTTCGACATTTACTATTTCTTCCAAAATATCAGTTTAATGTATCAAAAAGTGTTGTTATTATATTCTGTTTTGAAGACACGCTATTTGAAATGTTGAAATATTTCTTGTTGTGTCCTGACATATCTTATACAGAACAAAACTATATTTAAAGAACATAACGTACAAGATACAAATATTTCCTATCAACACGCGTTATGAATGAATAAAAAAACTCAGTACATGTGTAATTATGTACAGAGCTATATTTGGTGGCAACCGAGCAGAGGGTAAGAAAGGTTTTCGTACCGATTTTTCAAAAACATATGTTCTTTTTTTGAAAAACGACCCAAAAACGAAAAGCGTTGCAACGCATTCAATGACATCCGACTGAGAATCGCACAAGAAATCGATTTTTTATTGAATTTTGAGTATATAACTTTGTTACCCTTGGCAGATTTTTTTCATTTTAAAGTGCTTTTCTTAGTATTTGTAAGATTTTCACATTTTAAGTTTGGAGACCTTTGAACCTCAATGGAGTTTCTTAAGTACAAATTACTTAATAGCCAGTATCTTTTCTCTAAAATGTGTTATGTTTATGTTATTCTATGACGTCAAAGTTTAGAACAGATTTGATACATTTATTTAATTAAATATCAAAACATTGTCAGTGAACGTTCGTTAAAAAGATCGTTATCATAGTACAAAATACAAAAACAAAATGCAGACAAATAGTCAAATACAACTATGTTATTCTTTTTTAGTACATCTGATATAGCACTAACTAAGTCTTAAAAAAGAGCAAAAAATCTGTCGAGTGGCTCAATGAAGAATACAATTAATGTTTAATATGAAAAATGCGACAAATGATTAAAAATAGTGGAATTTATTATTTTTCAAGTCTCTAGCTTAAAGCAATTCTTTATTTTTTTTGAAATTCAATAGTACGGACAATATTTTTTATCATTTAAACACTGACTTTTCAAGAAATATAGACAAACATGTCAATTCAACATGATAAGTTCGAGTAAAAACAGTCTTTGAATTTTTTCCT